AACCCTTAATTTCTATGATTCTATGAAGAAGTATAAAGGTCAAAATATTAAACACGTCTTTCCCCTCCCTTTCTCTACTTCGTACCACTTGGAGAAGTATAATTCTTCCCTTAACCCAGCTGTTTTATATTTCCAGCTTCTTTCTCTTCTGTTTGAAGATTTGTTCAAAAAATTTAACTCTGAACTGAAGAAAATTGCTGACCAGGTGATCCCCAAGCAACGTGCAGCTCAGTTTGACGTGGTGAAGCACATGCGTCAGGACCAGATCACCAATGGCATGGTCAATGCCATCTCCACAGCAAGTGTTTTTATTCTTCTCTTAGTGTATAAAGTTTTTCCACCATATTCAGTGATGGAAATGTGTAAATTTTGTTCTGATGCATCTGCTGGTTTTGGTTGGAAAAGCAAATCTATTTTACATTGTTTATAGGTTAAAATTGCAGAGCTCCATCGTGGGCAGAGCTTTGGGAAGCACTGAAGAATCAGTAATCACCAAGCCACTTTTTATTTCACAGGGATGTTTTAGTGTTTGTGAAAGAATGGTGGAAACAAGCAAATTTAAAATAGTGATCATGTTTGCATTTATCCAACTTCCTGTCTTCTGAGTTCTACTTGACTATGTGGGTTTTTTATTATCTGGATTTAGCTAGGGTCAGGTTACATCATTTGTCCAAAAGATGGTTGAGAAACAGCAGGAAAACATCATGATCAGAAAAAAAAAATCAAACCAAAACCCACAACCTCAATTTCGAGCTCTTTAAGGGCAGTGCCTTTTTATTCTGAAGTTGCTAGTCTGAACAAATTTTCAGCATTAGTACTTCTCTGCTTATGATACTGAACTGTTTCACAGAGAAATCTGCTGTATGTCATAGCATTGAAACAAGTCCTTATAATGAGCCTTTAAAGATTTTTCTTGGTTGGATTTTAACCTGTGTCTGCCTTCTGCCAGAATGGGTGTTTTCATTCGTGCCAGTGTGCAAGAGCAATAGTAGTTACTAACTGTTTTACCTCACACATCTGCAAGAGCAATTTGTGAGGCGGCTCCTGAAATCTAGCTGCTAGCTTGTAAATGGCTTTGAAGTCCATGATTTTTAAAAGAAATGAGATTAGTCTGAAGTATTTTAGGAACTGGTAAAAATTGTGCAACTTGATTTTTCATCTTTGGAGCTCTTGAGGAGGTTTTTCTGCCTAGCATGAAACTGAGACCTTTCTTTGGTTCTTGTAAACAAAATTAACTCCACAAATCACATCCAAACCTACCAACAGTCTGTAACTTACAAATCTGAGTGTTGAAGCTTATCACTATTTAATTTTATGAGTGCCCCAAATGTAGTTAAATCTCTACAGTGCATGTAACCAAAACAATGGACAGATTTGTTTCTCTAAATGCTAGTGCCTTCTTCTAGCTGGTGCCAGTTTTTCCATTTGGACTGACAGAGATAAATCTGCAAACTATTCAGGACATATTCAGTCAAGTCTTCCTTCTTCCTCTGTCTTTGGACTTTTTTTTTCCCTGCCACATAAGCAATTAAACACCATCTGCTCTTAAGCATTGAACATAATTTCTCAGGAACAATGCCCAGTGCATACTATTCAAGAGATTAAGCAAATACCATAAAAATCATTCTTGGAAGTGACAATCTCCAATCTCACCAGAATGCTTCAATGATAGTCTCAAAGAGCGTGGAATAACAGAGCAGATTCATAATTGCACCAGTAGCATGCAAAAGAATTCGTAGCACTGCTGCATCAGTGAGGCTCAGAGGTATTTGCTAGAGGTCTTCTTTTTACCCTGGAAAGTAAAGAAGTGAGGGTAGGTCAGGCAGTAATGCCACAGGCCTGATAGACATTTCAGCCTCTAAGAATCATCTGACACCACTGAGGGAGCAACTTCCTCTTCCTGGGACTTCTCAGTAGGCTATTCTCCACTGGAGGTGCTCTCACAACTGCCCTGGCCTCATTTGAGGTGTGGGGTTTTTTTGAAGGCTTCAGTCTGTCACATCCAAAGCACAAAGAATTTATCATTTTATTTCTTCAGGCAGCATTTTCCCCTCCCTTTTCCTTCAGTCTTTTTTTATTATTTCAGACTCTTCTGGGCAGTGAAGAAGAAACCACATGCTAATATAGATTGCAGATGCAGTAATTTCTAGTGTGAGGGGAAAACTTCTCATTTATTGTAGTTTTCCACTTACCTTCTCATAACTCCCGGTCTTTAAAGACTGAAATGGTCAGTGGATGAAGCCTTCCCAAGAATGTTGAGCAAATGAGCAGGTTTCTTCTGGCTGATTTACCATTGGGCATTATGTCTTCCCAATTTCTATTACAAATTTGAGCCTGTTTGATCTCTCCAGCAGAAGCAAATAGCAAAATCATTTGTGTGGGTGGTGGTTTCATACTGTTCATCACTCAATGGGATTGTACTCTTAGTGAGTAAATAAAGAAACTAAGCAAATCACCCTCTGAAAGGATTTCAGCATAGTATAGTAAGCAAGTTTTAAATTATTTGTTGGTATTGGTGAACTGAGTTTATCAAAAAGGCTGCAGGAATTAGCAGAATCCTTGGGAAAATGTTGTCTTTGGACTGACCAGTAACATGTTGCCTCGGGTAATTTGCTTTATGCTGTATTTTGTATAAATAATGTCAATTCAGCAATGACTTTCTCTTATGTAGGAATTGCGTGGAGACCTCAGAGCAACTTTTCACTACCTGAAGGGCCTGCAAGGGAACTGGAGAGAGACTCTGTGTTAGGAGCTGCAATGATGGGACAAGGGATAATGGGTTCAAACTGAAGGAGGGGAAGTTTAGGTTACATATTCTAAAAACTTTTTTTTCCTGTGAGGGTGGTGAGACACTGGCACAGGTTGCCCAGGGACGTGGTGGCTGCTCCGACCCTGGCAGTGTTCAAGGCCAGGCTGGATGAAGCCTTGAGCAACCTGATCTAGTGAGGAGATGTCCCTGTCCATGGCAGGGGGTTGGGGCTAGATGATCTGTACGGTCCATTCCAACCCCTAAATTCTATGATTTTATGAAATAGTAGTATTTCAGACAGAAACTTGATGGATGCACTGACTCAGGTATGGAGTAGATATCATGAAGACAAAACCTGTAGTGCCAAGTTTCATGATTACAGTAAAGATTATTAAATCTGCTTGGCATGGAATCATAGAATCGTAGAATTTTAGGGGTTGGAATGGACCCTACAGGTCATCTAGTCCCAACCCCCTGCCATGGGCAGGGACACCTCCCACCAGAACAGGTTGTTCAAGGTTTCATCCTGCCTGGCTTTGAACACTGCCAGGGTTGGGGCAGCCACCACGTCTCTGGGCAACATGTGCCAGTGTCTCACCACCCTCACAGAGAAAAAAACTTCTGCCTAATATCTAACCTACATTTCCATCTTTCAATTTGTACCCATTGCCCCTTGTCCTGTCACTGCAGTTCCTGACAAAGAGTCCCTCAAAAAAAAAGACATGGTTGTAGCGTTGCAACCATTGCAAGATGGTTGCAACCATTGCAAAAATGTATTTCACTCAAAATGCCTTTTCCTTTAGTACTCAAAACAATACATAAAACAAGAACAGAAAATAACTTAGCTAAGTTTGAGTATTGATTTGCCTATGAGGGACAGATGAAGAAGAATCTTTGTGTGACTGAATATGTAATAGCAAAAGCATCGTCTTATCTGAAAGAGCAAGTCTTTGGTTTCAGCTTCTTTATGTAATACTTGGGACAGAGAGGCTTTAATTTGGAGTTGCTATGCAGATGGGTAATTAGAAAGTTGTTTTGTGTAACCAGGCAAAGCTCCTCAGATATCTTTCTGTCTAGGTACTGATAAAAGTTGTGTAGTGTTGCAACAGAGATGAACTTGGGTAACTGTTTTGAAACCTTGATTTTATTCTCCAGGGAAATTGGTCTCTGAAGAGATTCAAAATGGACCGCCAAGGTGTGACACAAGTGCTGTCCCGCCTGTCTTACATATCTGCTCTGGGAATGATGACTAGAATCTCTTCTCAGTTTGAAAAGACAAGGAAAGTGAGTGGTCCTCGATCACTGCAACCATCTCAGTGGGGGATGCTCTGCCCATCTGACACTCCTGAAGGAGAGGTGAGGAACTTCTAGTTTGCTTTCAGTATTTCTTGTCCTGAGGAATGGAGACACTGTTTATTTTGAAGCAGATGATCCTCCACGAGAGGAGGAATTCTGAGGAGATTTCTGGAGAGATAATTTATCCTCAACTTGGTAACTCGTGTCTTCTCATGTCCCATCTGTTTACATCCTGGTCCTCCTTACTATGTCATCTTTTTTCTTCTATATGAGTAGACTGTCTTGGAACAGTTCTGAAATCATTTGGCTGTATGAGGCTCAAAGACATGGAGCTTCCCACTTTTGCAGCAGAGTTACTTGCTCTCTTTTGATCAGAGAAGAAAAGGAGGAGTCCTAAACTCTTATCCCTTGGGTCTGTAATAAACATTCTGTTTTGAAGTCACAGCCTCAACCTGCAAATTTTCTGGAGACTTAGTATTGTTACAGAACAGATTTAGTCTTTAGCTTGAGGAAGAAAATCACCTTTGTGTGTTTTACTTTAGACATCATCTAGCTATTTCAACCAAATAGTTGATACTGACAGTCTTTTTTTTTTTTTTTTTTTTGTTAAGTTGGTTGGTTTCCCTTTTTTTCTGAGTGGAAAATACTGCAGGAACTCTGAACTTCCTGGATAAATAACTAGTCAATATGAGCTAGATTCATTAAGCCATTAAGCAGCTGAAATAAAATTGCATTGTGTGAGATACTTGGATGTTTTTCCTTTAAGAATATCAATGCTTGTGTTAGAACATACAGAATATCTGACAAACTGATAAACAAATTGATTTTTGTATTTCTATTATGCTGCTGATATATAACCCTGTATTTCTCTCTTCAAAGCAGAGAGAAATACAGGGTTATACATGGTTGGACAGCTTAGGAACTATGACCTCATCACCTATATTTTTTATTAGTTTGTAAATGCTAAAACATTGCATTTCAGTTGGATACACAAAATTCTTGCTTTCTTCCCTCGAGACTTTCAAGGTAGTAAATTTGTTTCGTTTCTCTCAGTTTATTCTTGGTCTTTTTTTTTTCTGTGTCAGTCATAAATGTGTTTTTGGGAGAAAAAGACATGTATAGTATTAATACTTTGGAATAAAATGGATAAAAGATGTATTTTGTTTGCCTTTTAGGCCTGTGGTTTGGTGAAAAACCTTGCCCTCATGACTCATATCACTACAGATATGGAAGATGGCCCAATTATTAAATTGGCCAGCAACCTTGGAGTTGAAGATGTGAACTTGCTCTGTGGTGAAGAACTTTCATACCCAAATGTGTTTCTCGTTTTCCTCAATGGTATGTTACTTTTTAGCGTTGGCTCTGATTTGTTGCTGATGGAGAGTTAGACTCTAGAAAACCTCCAACAATCCTTGGAGCACAGTCAGCTGCAGATGCTGTTTTCCACATGTCAGTCATTTCCTCTGTAAATATTTTGGTAGGGTTGGGCAGAGTAGACAGGCTGGATGAAGTTGTGTCTTCAGAACTCTGACTGGGAAATTGAAGCTTTTCCAAATTTCAGCCCTATTTTTAAACCCATTTGCATAAATGGGCACAAAAATATGCACTTTCAACCAGATTTATTTGTGTTTTCAGCTTCTTTGTGTTTTCAGACATTGACCAAAGGAGGTGCCATTCCTGAAGTACTTCTAAAAGGAACTACCACTGCTAAATTTGTAATAGCTTCAATTTATACATCCAGATCTTCATTTACAGAAAGTATTTAGTTTTATGTAATCTTTCTGTGTTGTTATATATTTTCATGCATTTTAAATTGCCTTAAAAACAGAAAGGAAACATCGTTTGCAAATTTTGGCTATGTTGCTCTATTTAAAACTACTATAAAGTGACATCTTGCTTTGTGAGTGATTAGAAGTTATACCTGGGAGAACAGGCCTCTCTCCTTTGTTCAGGGAATGATTTGGCACACTTGCTTTGCAAGAGGGGCATGGAGCTCCTGGAGCAGGTCCAGTGGAGGGTAATGAAGATGCTGAAGGGACTGGAGCATCTCAGTGATGAGGAAAGGCTGAGGGAGTCGGGCTTGTTCAGTCTTGTGAAGAGATGACTGAGAGGAACCTCATTAATGTATATAAGTATCTAAAGGGGGAGTGCCAAGATGATGGAGCCAAACTCTGCTCTGTGGTGTAAATCAATAAAGCAAGAGGTAGCAGGCAAAAACTGATGCACAGGAAGTTCCACCTGAATATGAGGAAGAACTTCTTTCCTGTGCAGTCACTGAGCACTGAACAGATTGCACAGAGAGGTCATGGATTCTCCCTCACTGGAGGTATTCCAGAGCCATCTGGACACAATCCCGAGCCATGTGCTCTAGGGTGGCCCTGCCTAAGCAGGGAGATGGGACCAGGTGACCCATTGTGGTCCTTTCCAACCTAACTGATTCTGTGGTTCTGTGAACAGGTAACATCCTGGGTGTGATACGTGACCATCAGAAATTAGTCAACACGTTTCGTATAATGCGTCGAGCAGGTTATATCAACGAGTTTGTTTCCATCTCTACAAATCTGTCTGACAGATGCGTCTACATTTCCTCTGATGGAGGGAGATTGTGCAGGTAAACATCTCATCAGAATAGTCTCACTGCTGAACTTACTGGTTTATGCACTGTAAACACACTGGGCTAAGACTTTCACAAATATAGATTTAAGCAAATCCAGTAGGACATGAGCCTCTCCTTTCTCCTTAAAGAACCCTCATTCAAAAGAGACCTGAAAACATACCATAGAGTCAAGCAGCTTTAAAGAAAACAAAGTCTAAATTAATCCATTTTTTCCATAAACAAAAATCAAAGCAAAATGTTTCTTCTATCTTAAAAAAAAAGGGAGAGTCTAAAATCAATCTGGTTGACAACTGTAGTTGTGTTTAGTGTCCTTGGAGGAACACTTCTGTTCCTTCCTGTGAAGTGAGAAACAGCAGCCACTGGCCTGCTATCCTGTCAGTGTGATGTTACATTTAGCCTGAGAAGATTCCCTTTGTCTTCAAGGGCAAAACTTCTGATGCAAAACTTCCTCAGAAGTGTATTCCTGTTTGTTTACCAAGAAGTTGTGTCTCATAACTTTGGTTTATTTCACTGCTTATGCTTAAGTAGGTGGGAAATTCAGTCAGCCCACAAGGAGGGTCTCTGCCTTGAGATGCTTATGGTCTTTATTAGGCAGAGAGTGCCTGAATAAGTTATGATATTCCCCTGGACTCGATGCTGGTGAAGCCACACCTTGAATCCTGTGCTCAGTTCTGGGCCCCTCAGTTCAGGAGGGATATTGAGGTCCTGGAGGACGTCCAGAGAAGATCAATGAGGCTGGTGAAGGGACTCAAGCACAAGTGCTATGAGCAGAGGCTGAGGGAGCTGGGGTTGTTTAGCTTGGAGAAGAGGAGGCTCAGGGGAGACCTTCTCACCCTCTCCAACTCCCTGACAGGAGGTTGGAGTCAGGTGGGGGTTGGGCTCTTCTCCCAGGCAACCAGCAGGAGGACAAGAGGGCACAGACTCAAGCTCTGCCAGGGCAGGTTTAAGCTGGATATTAGGAAGATATTATTTATGGAGAGAGTAATCAGGCATTGGAATGGGCTGCCCAGGGAGGTGGTGGATTCACCATCCCTGGAGATTTTCAAGATGAGACTGGATGTGGCACTTAATGCCATGGTCTAGTAACCCCAGTAGGGTTGGACTCAATGTTCTTGGAGGTCTTTTTCAATCCGGTTGGTTCTGTGATTCTCTCATGATTCTGTATCACAGAAGAAAGCAAAAAGGAATTGGGTGGCTAAAGTGAAAAACAATAGGACATAACATTTTGAGACAGAAGATCAGGTTGATTCATAGGAGGGCCTAGAGACCCCAGTCAGATTGTGGCAGCACTGTGGTAGGTTAGTTACAAGGAAAACATCTCCAGCCCAAGGAATTAGCCTAAAAAACGAGGCATAAAAGGTGAGCAAAGACGAGATTGGGAGAATCAAAGTAAGTTAATGAATGTATACATATTTCAGCACTGACTAGCTGTGTGCGTGTTTTGTGTGTACTTCAACAGCTGCAGGTGGCATTGCACCTTACTCATTGATTGAATCTCAGGGCATGCTGAGGGTAGGTTGAAGCATCTCGGAGGCTCCAAAGTGCTAAATGCACAAGCCATCAGTTAATCATGCTAGGCTAAGAGAGCCAAGGCAAGGGTGTATTTAGTGGCAGAGAAATCACTTTTCCAGTCAGGGCTAATATCAGTCCTTGTGCAGGTTTGGAGATGCTTCCAGTTTGTAAAATAAAGGCAAGTGAAATCATGGGTATTTCTAGGAGTTTACCACATTTGCTTTGTGGCACCCCTCACCCTGCAATTGTTCAGATACCCCATTAACCATTTGTGAGTGCTTGTTAGTCTCCTAACAGTTATTTAAACTTCAGAGGTGACTCCACAAGTATCTTGTAGCTATTTGCTGCTCTTTATGAAAGCAACTTGTCCAAATAGCAACAGCGCTTGACGTTTCACTCTTGCATGCTGTCCTTTTGTGTCAGTGTTTTTGTGTGCTAAGGAAGCCTTCAGAGATCCATGTGCTGTTGAAATTTATGGATTCATCTGGGATCACCCACAGTAAATCCCTGTACTTTACATCATGTAGGCAGCTACAAAGTGTATTCTTGTGTGTAGACCCTTCAGCACAAACTGCTCTCTCAGTGTTCTGTGAAGTCTCTGCAATAAACATAGTACTTAATGCTATTCTTAGCTTTGTAGATTGGGAAATCTCAAATCTTTTAAAGCCATCCTCAAAATCCTTTGATAAAACTTACAAAGTGTTAGTTTAATTCTTTAAAGGGAGAAAAAACTGACTTCCACTGCAAAACCAAAGCCTCAATTTTTCTGGTACACCTTTTGGCTACTTCATAGACAACAGATCAAAGCAAGATCTGAACAACCACTGATTGTATTTATGTGGCATTAGCAGTTAAAGATGAACAAATATTAAAAGTGGTTTATAAATCAGGTTGTGTATAGCCAGGGTTCTTCCTGTGAGTATAAATTGAGTTACCTGCCTAAGTATTTGCCAAGATAATCCTTTTTTTTTTAAATTGCAGACCTTACATAATTGTCAAGAAGCAAAAACCTGCAGTTACAAACAAGCATATGGAGGAATTGGCTCAGGGATACAGGTACACAATTCAAGTAGACCATATTCATCTTCACTAGGTAAATATTGTGTGGAGATACATCAGTCAGTGAGTATTTCACTATCTTGAGGTTAACTCTTTAGAGGAGGAGTCTCCTGTCTTCTGTAAACTGATAGTGTCCTGGAGATTTTCTGCTTAAAGTCAAATTAAGTCTGGTTATCTTGGTTTGGTACTGCTATGAAGTTTGGTGGTTATACAGGATAAGTGCATCTGGCAGACTCACCTTTCTGCAGGTGAGGCAGTATCATCGTTCTGACAGAAAAATCAAACACTTCGAAGGAGTATCAGCTCGACCACCCTAAACTAAGCACATTTAGAATGAGTTCTGAAAGTCCTTGCGAATTCTTAGTTTGCATCTAAAAGTGTTGAAGTTTAGCTCAGACTAAATTTCACAAAAACTTACCTGATTACCCTTACAGTTGCCCACATTTATAGTGATGCTGAGTACATGCAGGAAGATCTTACTTAGTAAGTAACATTTGTCAGTCAGACTGTGTGAAGCACTAAATGGGCAACAGGATTCACTAAAAACCCATATTTTTAACATGTAACATTCCCAGAACTTTGCATGTAGAAATTTAGCTTCTACACATTACATCCCTTTAATATATGTACTGTATTTGCAGAAATATAAGTCAGAACTTCTAGTGTAACTTTTAATTGATCTGCAGGAATTTTGAAGACTTCTTGCACGAAGGCCTCGTTGAGTATCTAGATGTGAATGAAGAAAATGACTGTAACATTGCACTATATGAAAGCACAATTAATAAGTAAGTATGCATTGAGACTAAGCACTGGTACAGGGAAAACTTTCCTGGATTGACTCTGAATTGTCAACATATAAATACTGTTCCTGTTTTCACCTGTGCACACTGCTCCCTTAGTAGTGGTTGAAGCCACTCCAGATGAAAGCTAAAGAAATCTGTTCATACACATCCTAAATTATCCATGGCATAGTTACAAAAATGGTTTAGGTTTTGGAAGATCTGTTCCTGCTACTAACCCTCAAAAATCTGCAGTATTTAGAGATATCATAGAATCATAGAATTTTAGAGGTTGGAATGGACTTTACAGATCATCTAGACATGGGACAGGGACACCTCCTCACTTGATCAGGTTGCTCAAGGCCTCATCCAGCCTGGCCTTGAACATCATCAGGGTCGGGGCAGCCACCACGTCCCTGGGCAACATGTGCCAGTGTCTCACCACCCTCACAGGAAAAAACGTTTTTCTAGTACCTAAACTAGACTTCCCCTCCTTCAGTTTGAACCGATTATCCCTTGTCCTATCATTGCAGCTCTTAACACAGGGTCCCTCTCCGGCTCCCTTGCAGGCCCTTCAGGTTGTGAAAACTTGCTCTGAGGCCAGCAATGTGAGGGAAAAGAGTAGAAAAGTGGGATTGAGATCTCAGATGATAGTCTGTCTAATCCAGTCTTCTGCAGTAAACCAGAATCAGACAT